AGCAGGGGACTGTATGAAAGCACTCAAAATATTTTCCTGTAACCACTTCATTTGAATAAAACAAGTTCCCTCAACAAGTGGCGTTCTTGACAACACTTCATTAACCAGGTGAAACGGGTTTGAAATGGAAGCTCCTGAAACCCAAGGCATCTCCCCGGCCCTGGAATGTTTACTTTTGTGAGGCCCCAGTGGCAGACTGGGGTCCTCCGTCCTGTCCTCTGTCTAGGTTTTGTGTTGTGTTCTGGATATAAAAGCACTTATATTTCTTTTTTTAATATTTTTTATCCTCAGTTGAGGATATTCCAATGCTTTTCAGAGAGAGTAGAAAGGAGAGAGAGAAAGAGACCCATCAATTGGTTGCCTCCTGCACGTGCCCTGACTGGGGCGGGGGATCAAGCCTGCAACAGGGGTTCATGCCCTTGGCCTGAATCGAACCCAGGACCCTTCAGTCTGAGGGCCAACATTCTAATCACTGAGTCAAACCAGCGAGGGCAAATGCACTGTATTGTAAAGCACGCTTAAGAGAGACCCTTGCACATCCTGAAAGCCATACACTGTGCAATTAGCGAGCTCTCTCATCCATGTGCAGAGGCCAGAAGCTGTGCACAAAGCAAACAAAGTTAAAAGACCAAGTTCAGAAATTAAAAGACAAAACACATACTTATCATGAGTCTACATTCCAAGCCAAAAAGAAAAAGAAAAACAAAAAAGGAAAAGCTCAGATCTATTCACTTGAAAATTTAATAAAATGTATCTACCTCAGATAGCAATTGGTCACTTATCAAATACTTTTCTATCCTTAGATTTGGGTAGAAATGAACTGATGGTGAGGGAGTGTCAGCTTTAGGGAAAGAAAAAAAAAGTACAATGAAAAATATGTGAAAACACCTGAAAAGGGGCATCTAAGACAGCCATGGCTATGAAACATTAATTATCATGAAACTCCCTGCTCAAAATCATGTGGTTTAAAAGAAAAAAAAATTCTCATTTGAATGCAGTGATTTAAAACTGATGTAGTAATTTACCACTTTGGTCAAATGGCCCCGATTATTTTCTTACATGTCAAGTGGTTTTTTATATATATGTATGTGTCTATATATATATATTATGTGTCTATATATATATATATTATGTGTCTATATATTATGTATCTATATATACTATGTGTCTACATATATTATGTGTCTATATATATAATGTGTCTATATATATATATATAGACACACATATACACACAGACAGGGTGGGGCAAAAGTAGGTCTACAGTTGCTGTATGGAAAATAATACAACAATGAATAAATAATGCTACAAGAATAAACTGTATTTTCCATACCCACNGTAGGTCTACAGTTGCTGCATGGAAAATAATACAACAATGAATAAATAATGCTACAAGAATAAACTGTATTTTCCATACCCACAGCCGTAAGTGTACTTTTACCCCACCCCTGTGTATAGTCATCTACATTTTCTTGGTTCATAGAAGACTGAGTTGGTAATGTGAAAAAAATATATATATATGCCTATCTATTGGCATAGGCCTCGGTGAAATTCTTAGTTGGGCGACAAATTTTAAAAATGCAGATTTTTAATTTTTTTTTTTTTCTGGAAAGAAGGTGGAGGCAGCCATGGGCCATGGGCCCGCCCCACCCCCAATCTCCTGCTCCATCCACACAAGGAGGAGACGGATCCTGGCCATTTTCGGGAGTCGATCCCTGTTAACCTCTCCCCACGGCCCACGAATGGTAGGAAATAATTCTCCACCCCACCCCCGTCCACCCGCCCACACCAAGAAATCCAAGTTTCTGGGCAATCTGTGACAATTGCACCTAACATAAAATAAAAAGGCAGGTTTCTGGTCATTTCCCCTGGGCTCTGCCACCCTCCTGGAGGGAAACGCGGAGCCTCTGCCTGGAACCAGGCGGATCTCCGAGCAGCTGCTGCGGATTCGTCCGGATTGAAACTCAGGTATTTGCAGGTGAGAAAGGCGCCCACGGACACGCCTTAAGCGCGCGCGTCTGCGTGGCCCGCACGACGCCCCCACAAGCAGCACATTCGGCTTCATCGAGGTAACCAGGTCTCCCCAAACTTTTCTCTTTTGTCTCCCGCCCCCCATCCCACCCGCTGTGTCCCCTCAAATCCACCCTAAGTGCTGCCTCCGAGAAGGAAGCCGGCGCGTATCTCCT